AGAAAAAATTGAGTTGTGACAATTAGCGCATACTCAAAGATTCATGTTTTAACAACCAATTATCAACGAATTTAAAGATCAAATGACAAGCAATTACCTGACTTTCAGAGACAGATGATATTAGAGGAGCCAAACCACAATCTGAGACATGTACTACAAGCTCATCATCAAAACAACTTGGGATTAGGGAAATCTGTTTCAAAATAACACGAGTTTAGTGATCAAACTCGTAGATCATACATAAATTTCTAAATCTACACATACATAACAAAGATCGGAAAATACAAATCAAAGCAAAACCATCATCAATATCTAAAATTAAAAGTAAATAAAAGAATATACAAATACTAGATTTGGGGGTTTAAGATTTACTAATAATTATCATAAACACATAAAACATACATAATCCCAATAAGAGGTATGATAGTACCTCTGCCAACATGTGGTTCGCTTCATCAAAAACAAGAATCTTCAAATAGTTCGTGCTCAATTTCTTTGTTGTCGCCCATTTATTGATTGTACCAGGAGTGCCAATCACTACTTGTGCTATCACTAGTGCTCGTTTTGAAATTGGAACATAATTGCTGCTATCCATTGGTATAGCACATTCAAAAGTAATTCCTGTATAATTCCCCATCTTCTTAAGAACTTCCATGTTCTGCATCATTGTCATCCACTACTATTAGTTAAATCCTAAACTCACAAACACTTTAGAGAAAAGTCCCAACAAAATGTGTACACATGATCCACTTGCTACCATTGATTAAATATTAAACTACATGTTAAAGAACACCGATCTTTAAACCCACCAGAGAACCATATATCATTAATTCATCCTTAGTTTCACAAACATTGCAGAACAGAACATAAGAGCATATCCAGCAAGGCTAGTTAAAACATCATCACCACCATCAGTCCAATTAATGATATGATTAAAACATTATAGATGGGGAATTAAGATTAAATTTACCTTTCTAAAAGCTGCACCTTTTGCTTAGGTTTTGTCCCATAGATAACTTGAAAGGAGGAGCTAACAATCTCTTCTATGTGAGCTGATTGCAGAAGCCTCAAATCTCTCCTCACCTAACAATCTCTTCTTTGTGTTCATAAAAAGGAAGGCTAAACAGGGAAACCCAGTGCATGAGGCTCCAGCTAATCACATTCTGTGTGTGTGTGTGTGTTTGTAGTGTTGTGAAACACAAGTTAACAGTCCTTCACCTATGATTTATGGTTTCATCTAGAATGCTGCCATGACAGTACCCTTGGTAATATTAATCAATTTTCTCCTTGATTGTCCTTCTAGACAAGTTTTAAGATAAAGGCATGAAAGTGTATTTATCCAAGCATATAAAAATCAAAAGTCTCCACCTGATATCAATTATTAGCCATGTATTTACCTTCGCACAGGTACAGATGAACCCAAATCACAAAGCATGGAGTAGAATTACCAAAGAGGTGGAACAAATAAACGAATCTTTAACTGTGATTTGGGTAATAGTAAGCGTCACTGTGTTAAAAAGCATATTGGGAAAGAACATAGAGGAGGAGATTGGTGTTAGGCAATAGCTCAAGGGTTAGAGTACTTGATAGTGCACCGAATTTAGAAGTAACCGGTATTTTAAAAAGACAAGCCTCTACATCACTGCAGAAAAGAATTCAATGTAGTTCCAAGGCCAAATAATCATCTCAACTTTCGACTTTCGATCCTCCCTCCTAACTCTAGGTCAAACAAAAATCAATCCAAACTGTCTAGCACATACAAACATATATCTCAATACTCCCCATCCTTGCACGTTTATCTACTGAGTTGATTTGACTATCCTTATACTAAAAAAGCAACACAAATGAAATACCAAACATAAAACCATCTTAGAAGATACAACACCAAAAGATACAGATCAATCAGGCCCAACAATGCATGCACTACCAATGCCAAAAATTTGTCATCACTAGCAATGGAAGTCTTACAAACACATGAAAATTCAATTCATTCATTTACAAGTGATTAAGTAAGGCAAATGAATGCACAAATTCACAAGAACACGTCGATATACTCAGAGGATCACATTTGAAATTATTTCAATATTAACATTTTAGAACACCAGAAGCAACAAAATCGATCAACCAGTAATGCTTTGGTCCAATTACATGTCGCGACATAGAAAGGTTAGCTATTTCAATCTTTGATCAAATAGAAATTATGTACAGATTTGCATATGTTAACAAACCTGGATCGCCAATTCTCGGGTAGGGCAGATGCAGAGCGCCTGAGGAGCAGTGAGTTTGGGATCAATACGGCTCAACATGCCAAGCACGAAACAAGTAGTCTTGCCAGAACCATTGTGTGCCTGAGCGATCAAGTGCTTGTAAGGAGGGGTCAAAATCATAGGCAAGCTGATCGTCTGGATCTTACTCGGCCTCTCAAACTTCATCTCCACATATAAACCCTTCAACAGTCGATTGATCGATAGAGAGGGAGGGGTAAGAAGAGACTAGGGTTTTTTGGTTTTGGGCGGGCGGCGGGGAACAGAGCGAGAATGGAAAAAAAGGGGGGGGGGAGATTTAAACAATAAAATAACACTATTTAATTTATTTATTTTTTGCGATAGGGGTTGTCGTCGCAAAAAAACTTTATTTTTTGTTAAAATAAATTTTTTTAAAAAAAATTATTTTATTTTGATTACTAAGCTTGAAAATTTATTTGTTTCATTTTTTTTAATGAAAAAAAAAATATTATTATTTTTTATTTGGTAGAAGTAGGGGTAATATTTTAATGAAAAATATTGTAATGGTAGTCGTAGTGGTGAAGTGGCGACCGTGGTAGTAGTGGTGGTAGTGAAATGACGTTTGCAGTAGTAGTGAAAGTGGTAGAGGAGATGGGTGGTGAAAGAGAGAGATAAGTGGGAGACAGATAGAGGAGAGAGAGAGAGAGAGAGAGACAGAGTGGTGACCGAGAGAGAGACAAAGTGGTGCTGAAAGTGTATTTTCTTGTAGTGGATCGATAAATTGAGAGAGAGATCAGTAAATAGAGAAGACAGAAGGAAAATAGTGAGCAACGCGAACACAATGGGGGAGAGAGAGAGAGAGAGAGAGAAATAGACAGACAGGGAGAGAAGAGTGATGAATGAGAAAGAGAAAGAAAAGAAAGAAAGGAAGATGAAAAATAGGTGAAAAGATATATATAGAGAGAGAGAGAAAGAGTGAAAAGAGATAAACGAGAGAGAGACAGAAAGAGATGAACGAGAGAGCAAGAGAGAAAAGAGACAGAGAGAGAAGATAGATGAAAGAGATAGAGAGAAGAGAGATGGACGAGAGATACAGAGAAAAACAGAGAGGCAGACAGACAAAGAAAAGTGATGAGTGAGAGAGAGAAAGAGAAGAGAGACAGAGACACAGAGAGAATGAGAGAGACGGACAGACAGAGAAGAGTGATGAGTGAGAGAGAGAGAAGAGAGACAGAGACACATAGAGAAAGGGAGAGACAGACAGAGGAGATGGAGTGGCAGTGGTGGAGAAGAGGTAATGGTAGTAGTAGTGGTAGTAGTGGTAGTGGTGGTAGGGGAGTGGTGGCGATGATGGTAGTAATGGTAATCGTAGAGGTGGAGTGGCAACAGTGGTAGTAGTGGTGGTAGTGGAATGACATTTGCAATAGTGGTAAATGTGGTAGAGGAGATAGGTGGTGAGAGGGAGATATGAGTGAGAGACAGATAGAGAAGAAAGATAGAGAGACAGAGACAAAGTGATGAGCGAGAAAGAGACAAAGTGGTCGTTAAAAGTGCATTTTCTTGTAGTGGATCGATAAGAAAAATGCCCTAGACCCCCAGTGGGAGTGACCTCCACCACCCCCACTGTTTTCTGATTGGTTCAAAAAAATTTATTTATTTATTTATTTTCACTCTTGCTCTCACAGCCCCCCACGTGGAGGTGTGGGTGCTGGGGGTCACCGCCCACTGGGGCTCCCCAACATGGTTGGATCGATAAATCGAGAGGGAGCTCAATAAATAGAAAAGAGATGAGGGAGAGAGTGAGCCAGGAGAACACAGTGAGGGAGAGACAGACAGACAGACAGACAAACTGACAGGTAGACAGAGAAGGAGAAGAGTGATGAGTGAGAGACAAAGAGAGAAAGAGATAAAGATAGACAAAGAGAGAAAAAGATAGAGAGAGAGTGAGACAGAAAAAGAGAGAGAAACAAGAGATGAACAAGAGATAAACAAAAAGAGAGAGAAAGAAAGCGAAAAGAGATTAACGAGAGAGAGACATAGAAAAAAAAGAGAGAGAGAGAAGAGAGAAAAACGAGAGAGACAGAGAGATAGAGAGAGACAAAAAAAAGAGAGAAACAAAAGATGCTCAAGAGATAGACAAAGAGAGAGAGAGAGAATAGCAAAAAGAGATAAACGAGAGAGAGATAGAGAAATAAGAGAGATGAGCGAGAGTCACAGAGAGAAAGAGAGACAGACAGACAGAGAAGAGTGATGAGTGAGAGACAGAAAGGGAAGAGAGATAGAGACAGAGAGATAAAGAAAGAGAGACAGATAGAGAAGAGTGATGCGTGAGAGAGAGAAAGAGAAGAGAGACAGAGACACAGAGAGAAAGAGAGAGAGAGAGAGAGAGACAGACAGAGAAGAGTGATGAGTGAGAGAGAGAAAGAGAATAGAGACAGAGATAGAGACAGAGAGACAGGAAGATGAAAAAATTGATGAAAAGAGAAATGTTATATCAAAAGAGTAAGACGACGTCGTTTTTTTCATTTTTTTTTTTATGATAGGAAAATACCATTGCATTTATTTAAACCATTTTGTAACTATATATATGAAGCCTCAAAAAGTCACATTTTTTTTGCAACGACAAGTTGTGCCGTCTCAAAAAGGCATATTTTTCGCGACGACAAGTTGTACCGTCTCAAAAAGTCACATTTTTTTTTTGCGAGACGGCAAGTCGTGCCGTCTCAAAAAGTCATATTTTTTACGACGGCAAATTGTGCTGTCTCAAAAGGTCACATTTTTTGCGACGGCAAGTTGTGCCGTCTCAAAAAGTAATATTTTTTGCGACGGCAAATTGTGCCGTCTCAAAAGGTCACATTTTTTGCGAGCCGTCGCAAAGAGTTCCGTCTCATAAGCCCACTTTTCTTGTAGTGTTACTTAAAAAGTGTAATTAAAACGTAGTAGTGTATATATAATCACACTTTAATTAAAAAAACGTGATTAAAAAATATATAAATAATCACACTTTCGGAGCCAGATTGGAGCAGAGCCCTCGAACAAGAGGCACCAAAGTCAGATCAAGAAGATCAGATCTCATCAGAAAAGCTTGTGAAGCTAGAGCAGAAGCACCCCTCCAACTAGGGGCAAAAATATTCGATGTGCTCGAAGAACCGAAGATAGGTCCTTCTGCAAAGCAATACAACAGTCATTTTCTTAGATTCAGATGACTTCAGGATCTCAAAACCATTTGGCATGGACTTGTTACACTTTTACCCTTTGAGAGGCTCGCTGGGCCGAAACCCGGAAAGGGCGACCCAGGCAAAAGTTAGAGCAAGAGAAAAAACAAAAAAAAAGAAAAAAAAATTGCAAAAGAAATGAAAAAAAAGAAAAAAAGAAAAGAATTGAAAAAGGAAAGAAGAACAAAGCTCGCAAGGTCGAAAACCCACAACGGGCGCCTTGGCAAAAGTTAGAGTCTAAAAAGTGAAGGTAATACCCGAGTGTACTTAACCCGAACTAGTCGTAAGGCTTGATTCCCATGTTTGGGATACGTAGGCAACTTCATCTTGAAGTCCAGCCCCAACGCTTTCATAGCGACTGAGTCCATGTAATGGTTTTGATCATCCTTGCCTTCTCTGAATCACGATAGTTCGGTTATGACACCCGAACTACGTAAGGCTTGATTCCCATGTTTGGGATACATAGGCAACTTCATCCTGAAGTCCAGCCACCAACGCTTTCAAAGCGACTGTGTCCATATATTGTTTTGACCATCTTCTCTCTTCTCTGTGTCGAGAGTCGGTCGTATTATAATGAGGACTGTTTACAAAATGCTGCGGCGCTATCCAGACAACGAGCAACTTTACGTTGCATGAGTCGCCATTCAAACCAGGGGCACTTTCCGTTGCCATGCAGCGTCTCTTCGAGCAAGAAGCAATTTTCCTTCGGATCCGAGGTGTGCATCTCAAGCGTAGGTTCCGTGCTCATTGAGCATTGGCCGTTTGCAAAAATAGTTTTGAGAATTTTTACTGAGGTTGACCATTTCTCAAAAATTATTCTATCTTTTCCAAAACTGGACCATTTTCTTGGACCCAAAAAAGGAAAATTTTTCAGTGCTATAGCCTGACTTGCATGATTTTAAATCAAAAAATCGAACAAGTATGTTAATCTAACTCTCATTTTGGTCAAAATTGTTTTAGTAGAAAACCAAAACAAAAAAAATGGTCAAAATGATGAACTAGGGGCACAGTTGAGTCAGGTGTTCTGTCTTTACCCCGTGGTTAACATTCCTGCCATAAGGACACTCTACCTGCCAGAAAGGGCACAACTGGAGCTGTCTGTAAAGGGCTGAAAGCTCTCTCACCCTCCAAGTGATAAGAATCAAACCAAGTGCGAAGCACGAACTGGAATGGATCAAGGTACTCTCGTTCCCTCATCCGGAACATCAACTAGACGTCCCTGGAGGAAATAGCTGCGAGCTAACAGTGTTGGGTTTGAACCCACAAACTTCCTATTCATCCATCAATCACCTCGGGGAGGATAAAAAAATGAGAGAATAAAGAATAGAGAGGTGTAAGTTGAGAGAAAAGTGAGCAAAAGCGTTTTTTGAGAGCAAAAGCGTTTTTGAGAGAAAAAACCGAGCTTGAGGGTCGAGTGATGTAAGAATCACAAATCAGAAAGGGTGGGAACAATACCTGAAGGAACTGGCTCTTCGTGATTTGAGGTCTTTCATTTTTGTAAACACGTCTGTGTGTCGTGTCTTTTGTTTGTTTAGCTCAACTTTTGTTTTGAGTCTTTTCCGAGTGTTACTCGTTGTGTCTAGGTAGTTTACCTTTTGATTTTCGTTGTTTGAGTCTTTTTCACTGAGTTCAGTCGTAGGCTTAATACCCCGGGTTTAAGAAACCTTTTTTCAAAAAACAAATCATTTTGTGCTCAGAGTGCTGTGCCATTCTCCACATTTGTGTAAAACAGATTTGGTTCTTTCGTAAAGCCGCAGAGGTTCAACCCAGGTCGCGTGAAGACAATGAGCATATGGATTCTGGATTGCATCTGAGTGTGGTTTCAGATTCAGCAAATTCAACCTTTGTATTCCGTCTTGTCAGATTGAACTGTTTGTTCAGGATTCGCTGTATGCAGATTAATCCCCAGCAGAGCATGAGTCGAGTGTTCGACTGAGCAGTGGGTGTTTTAAGTTGTTTGCTGTTAGCTGGTTCATTACCTGGTTATTACAA